CCCTTAAGGTCCTTGAGACGTCTTTGGCTAATAAAAAGGCACTCATTTGACCGTACTAGGAGGTATGTATGTATATTGTACATTTACATTTTTATGCATTCTGAATCAGTTCACATTTCAAAATAGCTTCTTGTATTGGGAGTTACGCTGTCAAAAAAGGGTAAGGAAATTCTATTTCTTACTCAATTCCTGTATTTTGCCACAGGAAGCAAAAGTAATTTGTGTTCTACTGAGTGAGTACTCTGCTGCTACAGAATTGTTCAAAATCTGCACATTCCTTTTCTGAGGGACAAGGATTACAGTTTAGCAGCTCAAGTTAAAAGATGCTTTATTCTTTAAATTTAATATTTATTTTATGCCTAATTGTAGAAATGGCATATAATATGCATATTAAAGTTAAACATTGATATTTTAAGCTAAAGGTTGAGCAATTAATTGTGATTTACTTCTGTCACCAAATTATTTCTATTCAGCATTCATTTCAGTTCATATCAAATCAAGCTTTGTTCACAGTGGTCTTGGGGTTGAGATACTTCAAACAAGGAATGAAACATTATTGATTTGTATCCAAATGTAATCCCTCAGTAACTGAAATGAGGATTTTCTTGTCATTTCTGTGTACAATTAAATAACTCCAGTTTATATGTACTTAAGCATGTTAAATTTTTTTTTTTTTTTAAGTCTACGGAAAGACAGAACTTTAAAATTGCCTAGTTTTAATATAAATGGAAATTTGCTCCCCTATTGAAGTGTTCTATTACACAATTATTTTATATGGATTATGGTTAAAATAGACTCATTTACTAGTGGTTTCTGAGTATTTCAGCATAGTCTTGATAAAATTTAGAGTTGACTGGTAGATATTTTGGAGTGCCATTTAGTATGGGGGGAAAGTGTACATTTTTAAATCTTCAGTATAATCTAAATGATGTTATTTCAGATATTCAGAATCATAATAAATTTTAGGAAGATAAGTCCTAAATATTAATAGCCAAGATACCAAATAATTTATTGTCTTAAAATATTTGAAATTTTTTTTTTAAAGAAAAGTAAACATAACCTTTATGTCGAAGAGAAACTCTCTCATCTATTTCTGGATTTCATAGTCAAGACAGTATAAGATAGTAGATAACTAGTTTTATTTGAACATTCCATTCTCTACCAACAGATAAATGTAATTTAGACTGCTATATGAAATAAGTTGAAAATCAAAAAGTAAATCATGTTGGGGATCTACATAATTAATAACTTTTTTGGCAGTTTTCATCTGAATTAAAAAGAAAATCTGCCCTAACTGTATGGATAGAATATGACAACCATAGATGTTTTAAAAGATACAGTTGTATAGATATAAACAGATAAATGGCATGGTTGGCATGTTCTTTAATTTGGGGCTTTGTTTACACTTCTGAGATTAACTGTTAATAATTTCTTGGCAATGAGCACTGCTGCCTTTTTAAATCATTAATGCCAGTCTTTAAATGATAATATAAGTTTCAGGATTATATTTAAATTTCTCGTATATCAGTTTTTCATCTAGGGGGTATTCTCTGCCAGTATTTTTATGTACAGAAAAGATCCTTTTTTAAAGACATTTATTGGGATCTTAAATTTAAAATAAATTATCCTTCACAACTTTTTAAATGAACATCCTAATTATGCTTCCCTGTTCACTCAACAGGCGACACTTTATTCATTACACCTAAGAAATTTTTTACCCTGTTTATCAATCTATATAGGATTCTAGGAATCATCCTAGCTTTTGTATACCAAGTAGTTCTAGATTCCATTCATGTCAATGTAATATTGCTTGATAAAAATGCCAAATTCCTTATATCTAAACTACTTTCTCCCTCCTCCAGCCATATCTCCCTCTCTCTCTGTTCCACTCCTCTCCCCTCTCCCCACTCTCCTATCCCTCCCTCTCTCCTCCTACCCCTCCCCCTCCCTCTGTCTCCCCGGGCCCCATTTCTCTAGAAATTAGTGCTGGCTCTTATTCTTACAAATGTTAATAGATATTGGTAAATCAAGGGGCTTATGTAAATGCTAAGAAATGTTTGTGAAGACCTTTCCTCTCTGATTTATGATGGTTTACCATGTTCATTTCAAATGTTTTATTGAGCATCTGATTTTTGTCAGCACTGTGTACATCGGATGAGGAATATTTTGGAATAGACTTTACATTCACAAGAATTGGTAGTATTTGTTAAACCAATGCAACCATTCAAAATAGAGGCAGAGTAACAGTGTAACAAATAATTTCTTTTGTTTGACCTGCCTGCACAAGTAGGAGGGGTGAAGGAGTTGATTATTCTGATTGATAGTAAAGAGAAAATTTATATATAAAAACTGGTTTCAAATGTATGAAAGTATGTTAAGCCATTAAGACAATTGCTTAAAGGTTTCAGGTACTAATATATACACTGAGATACTTTTGTGTGTTTATATATTTGTGTGTTTCACAAAAGCTAATGCTAACAAACAGAGGTAAAGGATTGTTTTAAATGTAGAGTTTATGATCTGTTGGCAGATCTGATCAGGTCTAATCAGGTATTTGAGCAAAAGTTTCCTATCTCCAGTAGAAGTACTATAACTTGAGAGCTAAAAGGAACTTGAAAGATTTTATCTTATCTCACGTA